GAATAGTGACCCGTCTGCCGACTTAGTAGGACAGTTCTTAACATGGTGTAAAGACAATAGAATGGTCTGCAACCCTTGCAAATGTAAAGAGCTGGTTGTTAGAAAGAAAAATCATAATGTACTCTACTCTCCAATTAATAATATTCCCCAATGTAATAGCTTCGTTTTATTAGGAGTAACTTTACAGAGTGATGGAAATTTTGATGAGCATGTAAGAACTAAGCTTGTCAAAGCAAACAAGTGTTTACACGTCCTACGAACATTGAGAAAGGAACATTACTCTCAGGCAGAGATTGATCATCTTTTTATATCGATTGTTTTGGCTAATTTTAGCTATGCACTTTCAGTCTATGGGGCATCTGAGTCCGATCTTACGGTTGTACAAAAATTTTTAGACCGATGTCATGAACGCGGTTTTATCTCATTTCCAGTTTTTATCAAGAACCTTTTAAACAAACAAGACAGAAACATTTTGAAGAAACTAAAATCAACGGATTGCCACCCCCTGAAAGATATCATTCCTGTCCAAAAGACATATCTACACAATCTCAGGAAAAAAGGCTGCGCGCGCCCGAAAATTAATACACAGCGCTTCATGAACACATTTGTAAATAGGTTGATATTTAAGCTCCATTTATTGTAATGATATACTTTTTAATTCATAATATGTATGTAGATTTCTGTAGTTTTTTCAATTCATTGTAACATAAGATATGTAGTTTTATCTTATGATGGAATAAAGATCTATATATATATATAAGACCTATATACCCGGTCTATGTGTATTATTCATGTAGATAACTATATTTGGCGCTCCAGCCACGCAATACGTTCGTTCTTTCTTCAAGATTTCTCTCTTCTCCACCATAGTTGAAATTTTCTACGTCATATCTATGTAACATAATTATTTTTGTCGCGCGCTTAACGCGCGACACTTTTTGGCCGCCAAATCGTACTTTCAATGCGCAAAAAAACGGTCAAGAAGAACTTGCTAGACGCTAAGGTCGATTATTTCTTATTTTAAATAAACTGCAAAAAAACAATATCGTATCATAGGCACTTTAAGGTGTGCCCATCAGACAAACGTCCCAAATCATGCACTTCTCAGTCTTCCAGCCATGTTCGAATTCCGTACCAAAAGTTAACTCCCACTAACATTAAAAGCAACCTGTAGCTTTCAGAGTCTTATACATATATGTCCTCTTCTCTCCACCCTTGAGGGCGACGTCATTGAGATAGGGAAAACTAATAATTGCCAGAGAACTTAGCGTGAATTCACACTTTCAGTGCCGATTATAGGTCAAGTGTTTTTTTCACTTTCTAGCCTCCCGGTCATAGATCACAAAAGTAGCACAAGGAGCGTTCGCCAAGGAAGTTACTCATTTCAAAACATATGACGATTTTCACCGTCCACGAGCACCAGGACTCGCTTTGAAAAAGAGGCCAAAGGTAACTCGGAAATGGGCTATTAGCGCCTACAGCACAAATTATCTAAAATCTGATGATGAGCTAGATTCGGAATACATAAAAAAGACGTTATCGCGAAAATCATGATCATATAAGCCTCATACTGAGTTAACATGCGGCAATTTCTTTTGTTCTTTTCGCTCGCGTCTAATTTGCTTCCGTTTATATACAGCTGCAATCGATCCGCAGTTCCATATGAAGAAGCCTCGAAACATAGACCGCCTAATCAATTGCGGGAAATTTACAAATCAAGATGTCGTTGAGATTTGTTAGAGCGGCACATACTAAGATAATCACTTAAAAACTCATACGGTGCCAATAGCCAGATACTTTGGCTGGGGGAAAGGCAGCCTGGCGAAAAACCGCGATGCACCCATAGCATGGCGTGATGTTTTGTTGACAGATTTTGTTCTTAAGTGCGATTGTGCCTTTTGCCTACAAACCTTTCGTCACTGGCCAATTTTATTCGATTTAATTAGATTGCTCGACATTAGTAAAAGTTGGAAAATTGTAACTGTTAGCCGTAAAAAAAATTTGCCACGAAAGTGAAAGTCTTAAGTTCTCTTATCAAGACCTTTTTGTGTCTTATCTTGTGCTTCTAGCACGAACGATAGCAAAGACTACACTTTTAATGAAAATTGTGTGCACTTCTGTCTCAATAGTACCAAAGGGGACGTCGACCTCGAGGAGAGAGATGGATTCTTGGGCTTTTCGATACCCAGTATGAACCCGTTAGACCATATTTGCAGCTTTTCAAAAGGCGAAATGCTGCTACGCTATTGCTGATTATTCAAAGAAACGTGCAACCAGGCTCTTTGGTTCATACAGATGAATGGGCGGCTTACAAACAAAACCACAAGGTCTTGGGTTTCAATCAACAAACGGTGAATCAATCGCTCAACTTCGTAGATTCAGTTACCAGTGTCCATACCCAACACCTAACTTCTTTTGAATTGTGTTTCTCAAACTTCAATGTACTTAGCCAAAATTCCGTAATAACAGCTATTAGTCATTGTGTAGCCCTTTTTTCTTTTTCATGTGAACGCGATGCTTGTGCAAAATCAAATTAGCTTTTCTGTAGCCATACCCACCACCTTTTCGCAGACGTTTCCTTCCCTCCGTTTGTTTAGAGGGGGAAGACGGGTCCCGCCACGCTTAGCCGGCCAATATCAAATCATAACAGATGGAATTAAGTTGTTATAGTATTACTATAACTGAAGTAATTTTTCTGTGTGTGGTCTTAAACCATACGTAACAACTTGTTGGGTGTTACTGATTATCTATGCACTAAAAGAAAGACTTGAACACGCAAGTTAAAAGAAAACCTTTTGGCGGGAAGAAACACCTCGGGGAGAGGGGTGGTAAGAAACGAGGTCTGGTGGTAAGAAACGAGGTCTGGGACCAAACAACGATGCTCTCACGACTTGTAAAGCGATCAATTTTGCGTCTCAGCCAGAGGTTATTCGACCGTTCGATAGTAGGTCAACTTTTCCCGCAAAATTTTACAGCAAACTCTAATAGTGTCTCAAGAACTGAATATTAGGGAGCTTATAAATAAGCAACCACGACAGCGATGCCGAGGATAAAGTCGATTAAGAATTGATTGATGTTCTTCTAAAGAATCTCACTGGCTGAATGGATTCTGTATTTCTAAAGGGGCCCTTCCTTCCAGCTTATCATAATCTTTTACCATAAACCATTAATACCGCCTTAAAGAGCTATCCTTCTATGTTATTTCAATTAACAGCTAACTATTTAACTTGAATGTAGAACTCTTATCGCAGGTTTGACAAGAGAAGTAAAAATATGGGCAACTTATTGGCACGAGAGAAAGAAAATCAAACAAGTTGCTTAGGTTTGACCTTTGTACGACTATTAACCGCTTCTAGCACGAACAGTAGCAAAGGTAAACATTTTAAGTTATCGTTAATAATAGTGGAAATGTTATAGCATGTTTTGCTTCTAAAGAGCCATTTACTGACTTTACAACTTTATTTGTACTTGCAATATCGTTCGAATGATTTACCGAAGCGGATCTGCTCTGACTAGTGTAAATAAACAAACCATCGAAACAAATCGTATTTTTTTCACAAAGGGAACCGCACGCCTTTAAGAATACGTTACGCGCAATATGCCTCCTTGCTAATCCCAGGTCTCAGACCTGGGATTGGCCGAGCCTGTACCAGGTCGCTCGAGGGGCGTGTTGTTTCGCGCGGCCTCGATCTTTGTTGTTGTTTAAGGAGATCATATTTCAACAATTGAAAGCAATCATGCTATGGCAATCTTAAAAGCTGGAAAATTGGAGACAGGGTCTGATTCACAAAGACTGGTGTCAAGTTTGAGTCGTGGAGGTCTTTGGTCCATAACCAAGCCAGCAGAAAAGATTTTTATCAGAACAGAACATTATTTTCGACAAATGACATCTACAGTCAATCTGGCTCGAGTTGACATAGCTGATATTGTGGGCAAATCAGTGAGTGATAGTGAATTGTTGTCAAATTACTATTTATTAGTTTCTGATGCTGAACTTGTTCCAGACAATCACATTGTCAAAGATATCTTGCATGGTATTGTACACTTGTATGTCAGGGTGCGTTCATTTTCTTTTGCCAAGGATATTATCCAGCGTCATAAAATTAATACGAAGCAATCAAAAGCTAAGGCACTTCGCAAGGAGATAAGCAGGAGCTGTGAAGAGCAACAACAAGAGAGGCTTCAGAACTGTTTTAAAATTTTTACTTTTTGCTGTATAAAAGAATGTAAAAAACACTAACATATGCTGCTAAAAAATGTTCCTTTTCCTGTTTCTGTTGGGCATTTGTTGCAAATATAACTCCTACTTAAAGCACTTGAAGACTGTGCATATATGTACATGTATTGGTTGCTGTAAACTGGAAAGTCAACAGATACTCGCTTTGGTCTGAATAAAGCCCGGAAAGGGATGGACTTTTTTGTTTGAAGTACCTCATTATGAGAAAATATAATCCCTGAGCAACCACTTTTCTAGCAATATTATTGCCCACTTGAAATATCAGTCTTTTGGGTGGTTTTTTAAAGTAAAAAAGCATTCAAATTTGGAGTTTTACATTCCCACTCTACCCATGCTCTAAAATCAGTTGTCTGCAATGCCATTATGTCCAGTTTAATGTACATGTATTGAAACAGTCAAGCAATTTTTAATTTTTTTCTGCATGGAAGCTTGGTGTGTGTAACTTGATCCCATGCATGGCAGGCATCCCTTCTACCCCTAGTGTTCCCACTCTGGCATGACACTGTCCTCTGGATTCTGATGGTGTTGTTACTCTCCAGTAACCTTTGTGTGGAAACTGTTCGTCTTCCTCTAACCCCTCACTCATGGGAACAACATGATGAAACAGTGTGCTTGTCATCTCTAGTGTGTCAACTCAACAACACAAACTGTAGTTCTCCCCCAACAGTTCAGCAAGACTATGTATGGATATATTCCTGACTGTACGCCGATAATCAAGGTACACAGGATGATCCTCCGGAAAATAACAGCCATAAACTCTTACTGTAAATGCTAGACTATCATCCACAACGATTTCAAACTTCGGAAGCACATATGGAATCTCTACCTGTCTTAAGACAGCTCTGTCAGAAAATGTTCCAATGTTCCAGTTTTGAAGGCTCTTTAGCTTAGTCAAGCGCTGACAAAACTCCGTGAAAGTCTTGTAATGAACTTGCGGCTTCTTGATCAGATCCCGGACAATGGTTCGCTCAAGTCTTTGCTCGGGTTTTGGAGTCTCGTGAGTTTTTTTCGGCATGTTCAACTTGGGAAGAGCACCAAACCGAGCCTTCTTCTTAGTCATTTTCTCTGAATGAACTATAAACAAAATAAAAAAATTACACGCCAAGTTTTAACGGCGATACAATGGATGGAAAAACCCCATATACAGTCAATGTCTAGTAAAAATCGCCTGAATTGCACCACTAACACGACTACACAGAATATACAGGACTGATATCTAAACACAAATCGACACCGTGACAGTCTACACTCGCTCGTACAAGTTCGAGCTACTTACACATTTCAACGTCCTCAGGTTCGAAGTGTTTTTCGCAGGTAAAGATCCTGTCCTTCGCTACTAAGACTTTAAATGGAGCATCGCTTTCTCTTGTCTTTGTAATTTCGTTCAGCCACTCTTGTCTCCATTTCTTGTGAGCCTCGTCCTTTGGTGCAGGCAACTTCCAAATTCCAATGCCTTTCGTCCTTCTGCTGGTCCCACAGCCAAACACAGCGCAGTTGTCGCCGGGCATAATTTCCCCAGGTTGCTATATTTCTAGTGTCTGATTTCAACGAATTCTTCTTTCGCCCGAATATCAAACAATTTTTGTTCTACAAACGGAATAACGCTACTCAATACGCCATCTTGCTTTGAGTGTGTGTGTGTGTGTGCACGGTCGTGAACACGTGATCACTCGAAAATCAGAACAAAGAGTTCCTCCTTTGAAGTTCGCCGGGTTTCCCAACCAGTCCCCTCAACTAACTATGAGGAGATGTAGAGCCAAAAAAACTTCACAAATTCATTTTAATTTGTGAGTTTGAAAACCTTTTTTCTTTCCATGATGGATCGAGGTGATCATTAATATCAATGTGGGAATGTGTAAATAACCGTAGATCTCCCAAAAGGTACAAAATTTTGACAATTCAGAAGTCCGTGATATGTTGTTACATCTTCCGTTCCATTTCGTTTCACGCGGCCTGGACCCTTTTTGTTGTAGAGTCTCGAAAACCTTTACAAATGTTTAAAAAAGTATATATTTGTAAACTTCTTTCGCTCTTTGATGCTACAATAGCCGAAGATATCCTGTAAGTTACGTAAATTGAAGAAAATCTTTTTCATAGATTTCGCGGTAAAATGTTTAGTTCATGACATCTTCAGCTTCCATAACAGTTGTGATATTCAATCCCGCCTGTTTTTCTCTTTGCCCGATTTTCAATGGGAATCAATTGATAGCTTTACTCCTATGGTTTTTTTTCCACAAATTCACATTTAAGATGTCAATGTGCAGAATTGTAGAGAAAACAGATAAATGCGTGTTACCAAAGCAAGCGAATATAAGGAAAATGACTATATTGACTATAAATAGCAGACTATGAAATTGAAACTATAAGTAGAGCGAAACAAACGAACGAAACGTGAGCACAAAACTGAGAAAATATAGCCCAACAACAAGAGTTGTAAGAGAAACAGAGGTTGTTTTGCAATAAACTGATTAAAATTATGACCAACTGTGCGAAAATTGTGCATACAAAAACGAATGAAGCGAGCAAGTTTTGGAACAAACGCGTGTCTCCAATTACCATGACATCAAATGAATATAAAATGAGAAATGCCTGTAAACAAAAGAACGAATTTGCCTGATTCCTAAAGAAGCAAATGCAAAAGCAGGCTAAAAACCAAAATACAATGAACTTATTTTAAACAATGAAACAAAATAATAACTAAGCGAATTTGCGGGGTTTACGCGCTAGACAATCTCATTTTGAACTCAATCTCATTTTCTAATTTCAACGATTATTAACTGCTGAGGGATCCGAAATAACAACGTAACAATTACGAAGACGTCCAGAGTCCGGCAGTCTGCAGGCAATGCAGAGCCACTAGACAGTGCAGAGCCACTAGACAGTGCAGAGCCACTAGACAGTGCAGAGCCACTAGACAGTGCAGAGCCACTAGACAGTGCAGAGCCACTAGACAGTGCAGAGCCACTAGACAGTGCAGAGCCACTAGACAGTGCAGAGCCACTAGACAGTGCAGAGCCACTAGACAGTGCAGAGCCACTAGACAGTGCAGAGCCACTAGACAGTGCAGAGCCACTAGACAGTGCAGAGCCACTAGACAGTGCAGAGCCACTAGACAGTGCAGAGCCACTAGCCCTCCGGCTCATGTGCAACCATTCCTCTAACAACTCGCACTGTACCATATCGTCCGGGCAAGGAACAATAACAATCTTACTGAATGTAGAGATCGTTCACACTGTTTCATAACTAAGTTAATCAGTGACATTGGACACTACGTTTTGTTCGACATATTCTTGTTTAACCGGTTTGATCACGTGCGTTTTTTTGTAATAATATTCTGATTTCGCTTTAAGCGTTTCAATGTTTTTCGATCGAGCGAATTGATGTATGAGTGATTCCTACAAAATAAACAACTGTAATGGAATTCCTAAGTGATATCATAAGCTTGCTACATCGTATCGAAAATTTTTCTATTAAAAAAACGAAATAGTAAAAACTACGCGCTACTACATATGTAGTTACTCAGAGAAATTACAAGTCCAGTGACTGTCACGCAATCTTAACCAAAGCATTTCCCTGTCCCTTTAATGTAGACTAGAAACGAATGGTGAAAGTAAAACAGCTGATCTGAATACTAAACAGACCCTTGCTAAAGCATAAAATTTAAAAAAGTAACCTTTTAATGCGCATCAATTCAAAATTCATGGATCAACATACCCTTCACATTATATTCTCGACAACGGTGCTTTAAACGATATAATTACGCCCAGGGCAAGCAAAGAAGGGAAGCAATCGTCCTGAAAAGAGAAAAAAATAGCAAGTGTATCAAATATATGCTCAACATACGCTTATTTCCAAAGGCTCGCGTTAATTCTAATTCTAATTCTTTCCCCTGTTTCCTGATCTTCCGACAAGGGAACGGAGGGAGTCACAAATGGCAGGAACTCAAACAGACTCAGAGGCGGGAGTTGTTCATAATATGCGCAGATGACATTATTCACAAAAGTAACATAGCACCTCAAACGGAGTTACACAGTCATGCAATGAAAACTAACTTTGCAATGCGTTTTTCGGCCTCAAGAAGTGAAGAAGAAGTGAAGAATCATCGTTTCAAAAAAAATTTTTAACAGGATTCTTTTAAGGTTCACATAAACAATACGCAATCTTTTTTTCTCCTAAAGCTGCAGACGAGTTGTCGTTAAAGTTGCTTCCCTTTGCAGAATGCGGACGTTATGACTTTACGTTTGTCTTCAATATAGCGCGAAAGCAAATTATAGGAGGCGATTGTGCAGTGCTTTATGCATACTAGGAAAATAGGATAACTTTCGTAGCGCGAAATTTTAATGTGCAATAAATTTGGTAGATGAATCTGACAGCGTCAGTGACGTGTTGAATACACTTAACCTGTTGAGCAAAAAAAAAACAAAAACAAGCAGAACATGACTACGAGAAAAAAATCCCATCTCCTGCTCTCGGACAAAAGGATGAATGGGTACCTATTAGATGTCGGCTTGTGTAAACAAAAAAAAATTGTGGGAGGAGATTATTCAGTTTTCCGTGCTTACGAGGCGCGAAATTTAATTTTTAACTTCTTTCGTTGAATTGATATACGGAAAGAGAATGATACCCATGAAACTACATGAATTAACGACGCGCGAGGCTTCGGAAGTTATTACCAGGTTTAAATCACACGCTGGAGGAAGGAGACTCTGAGCCTTTTTGTGCACATCAGGAACAAAATCTTATTCACGCAGCGCGAAATTTAAATACACACACATTAAACAATCGAGCGAATGACGATAGTCTTTTACATGATTCAACGGCGCGATAGGCTTCGGACGTTAATATCAGGCTAAACATGCTCTCATTACCTTTGCATCGCACAGTGAGCCTCTAAGTGAATATATCTTTCGCCAGTTTTAAGCAATATGTAGGAAAAAACAGTGACTCTTCAGATACGAAAGCTACAGTCGCCCCACCATCCACCCCACCGTGACTATTTGTAACCTAAAAATTTACCAGAATCACCCCCACGGGGAGGATTTGTCTTATCGTCAGTTTTGCCGATGGTTTAAATCTGCCGCTCGCTCGTATGATATTAGGGAATTTTGAAAAATCCCGCGTGTATTTTGAAGCTCTTTCCGCCATTGTTCCAAAGTAGCCGTATACGGTCATTGTTAATTATTTAACAAAGCCTGCTGTAATCTAAGCTGGGGTCAATTCAATAAAACTTTTACACTTGTATTTTACACGTTGGACCGTTGCTTTTACAAGCGCGCAAAAAATCCAATTCAATAACTGTCTTTACAAGCCAAAGTTACAAGTGTCCGACTTGTAGTTACAGGTGTAGAGCTACACGTGTAGAATGTGAAATTAGGTCAGTTCAATAAAACGTTTTACAAAAGTCCAACTTGTTTTTGGCCTGCGGTCCACTTGTAAAATACAAGAGCAAATTACAAGTCATAAGTCACTTGTAAACTTCGAGAGCAAATTGTTGTTGGCCTCATTTAAAGAGATAGCATGTCATCTTCGAGTGAAGAAGAAATAGATGAACTTTTGAGAAATAGAATAAGACGACAGCCGAGGAATTTTGAGGAAAGACGGCTTTTCGACGTAGAAAATCCACGCGAATTTCGACAGAAGTTTCGTCTCCCAGTCGATGCATTCGAACATTTACTGGCAGCAGTGGGTCCGCAATTGGAACACAGAACACGGCGCAACAGAGCGTTGACGGCGAGACAACAATTGTTAGTATTTCTCCACTTCCTTGGTACGAACTCGTTTTACCATGTGATGCATTCGTGCCATGGAATTTCAACATCAACGGTTTGGAATGTCATAGACCGCGTTACGCCGGCAATACTAAGTTTACAGCGAGAACTTGTTTGTTGGCCCAAGCAGCCCCTTCGAATCGCTTCAAAGTTTCATGATATAGCTGGGTTTCCTTGTGTTGCTGGTTGCTTGGATGGAACCCATGTTCTGGTAAATCCCCCGGCTGGTGATGAAGATGCATACGTGAATCGGCATCATACGAAATCCCTCAATGTGGCCATGGTTTACGGCCCAGATTACTCAATACATTTCTGTAGCAGCCGATTTCCTGGGAGATGGCATGACTCGCGGGTTCTCAAAGAGAGTACTCTGTGGAATGCATTTGAAGAAAATGCTCAGAGGCCATTCCCTGGAGCAGTAATTCTAGGCGACTCTGCCTACTCGTGCAACAGCTGGCTGATTCCTTCTTTCAGGGGAGATGTAGAAGGTGTTCGCCCCAGGTTTAATGAGGCGCACAAGAAAACCAGAAGCACCATAGAGAGAGCCAATGGTGTTATAAAAAAAAGATTCTACACTCTACAAACAGGCTTAAGGGTCAGAAGTATGGAACGAGCTGCTGAACTTATCCAGTGTGCAGCCATACTACACAACATTTGCATACTATTTAACGATGATGGTGCTGATATTTTGGATGACGAAGATCTGGAAATTGATGAAGGGGAGTCTGCCGAGCAAGACGAGGGGCAGGAGGACAGACGACAAGAGCTCTTGGCGCATTTTCTTTGAATTAAAGTGAGACAATGTCGATCGATGTGAAATCAAATTGTTAAGGGCCTTAAAAACATTTAGTTTACATTTCTTATTCGATCTTCATTATTTGCAGATATTGAATTTATAAAACTATAATGATATGCTTAGGACGATCCCCTAGCCCAAATATGAAATTGAAAAAGAACAGAAGCTGTCATTGAATTCATTAAACCATGGTATGAGCTATGTCATTGAAGTCATTTCAATAATTATTGATATCCTCTTGTCCGTTGCCCTCCCTCTAATAATTAAACAAATGATTGCAAACCACCAACCTTCTAAGACTAATTGTTTTTGTTAAAGGCGTGATTACTTTCTAACAAAGTGATACAATTCTGTAAATTATTGACATTATTACCTTTCATTCTCTTGATTGCACTTACGCAATTCTCAAACTTAACAGTCAAATTATTTCTATTAATCCATCGCCTCGAAATCTTTCTTCATTATTTTAATCTCCAAGGACAACTTTGAACACTCTAAAAGTAGTTTTCTTTTCCTAATTCGTAATATGTCTTCTTCTAATTCTGCTGTGGAACTGACAGTGGCCTTTTTCAGCCCCTTCTTCGATTTGATGGTAGGCTTTTGGAATACTGATGTCTTGTCTTCTTTGGCTTCCTTTGGTTTGGCTGAAGGTTTTGTTTCATGCTTTGCTTTTGCATCTAAATGAACAAAAGATTGGTAGATACATGAAAATCTCATCTTTAAACTCATCGCGTTTGAACGAAGCTAAGTTGCGATTAAAGTAAGAAAGAAACATTTTCATTTGGGAACGCGATAATCGCGCCTGACCTAGCTTCTAATTGACAACTTGCTCGCAGAGAAACGAAAGAAGGACATTTTGATTTATAAATGTTGTTTCTGGTTATTCTAAATTATCTCACCTTCGGTCTCAGGTGTAGTGCAGACAACCTCTTCACTCTCAAACACAATTGGTGTGTCTTCAACCTTCACAGGCTCCAAGTTTGCGCTCTCTCTTCCAAGTATATCAAGGACTGTATCGTCCAGCTCTGTGAGTTCACTCCCTCCTGCACCGGTCTTTTTCGAGTCACTGACTTTTTTTATCGTACCACGGCGAATGTTTGCCCAGATAACATCTCTCAGGGTTTTTATGTTGTCGACGTTCGCTCCAACACCATTCAGTTGTCTTAAGATGCTTTCCCACGCCTCCTGTTTCGCCTTTTTCGTTACAGTCGAGGAAAATGGAGCCAAAACAACTGATTTGTTATCCCTCACAAGCTGCGCTAATAGCAATTTCTGGGATTTCGACAACATGCTGAAACGACAGGGAAAAGATCGACGCGGTCTACGAAATAAATTTTCCGCACTGAGCTGAAATAATTTGCACTTGTAGTTTACATATCCACTCAGTGCTATTTACAATTGTACGGTTACAATTGTAATTAACACTTGTAGTAAGACTGCTTGTACACGTGTAAATTCCAGTGTTTGAATTTTTTTTATTGAATTCTTGTATTTACAAGTCGGACTTTACATGCGTTTTTTACAACTGTAGAATCTACAAGTGTAATTTCTTTATTGAACTGACCCCTGATCCGCTTTTTTTGATTGCCTCAGCAATAGATGTAGCGCCGGTGTCTTAGCGGATTTCGACCTCTCTAGATTTGGACCCCCCAGTCAAAATCCGCGGGCGCGATTAGACCCCCAACAAAACTGAGTGAAAACATCATCTTAACGTTCTAGTAGAAATAGATAATACTTTACGTTCCAGTGCGTACTAAAGTATGTTTTTAATTAAAAACATGCGTACTGCCAATGCATACGAACTGGCAGCTGGAAATGACCCGTCGAACATATGTATGAGTTCATACAATTCGGCGAATACACACCAACAACATACAAGGTTGACAGTATATCTCTAAATCTGCCAACATGCCGATATAGTAGTGCACATCAGGGATACCTCACCGAGTATCGGTCGTTTATGGGGAAAGAAAACGAGAGAAACCCCAATGGCTCACAGCAATTGATTAACGCTGTAGTGGATGGATCCCGCTTTTAATTTTTTTTTGTGGAAAATTAACAAAATAAAATAGAAAAAACAATCTCTCATTTTCGTTTATTTTTTACTCTTCAGCAAACTTAATTAACACAAAAACAATGAGATAATGTACTATCAATCTTAGTGCATACTTATTGTTTATAATTTTTCGTAGCAATCTGATGGTCATCATGCTTAGGAAAGGCATAAACAATAAGATTATGCTGATTTTGTTGTACGTTTTGCTGTTGTTTTGACCCATTTGTTACAAATCAACGTGATCAGATGGACAATAATGATACTTTTCAGTTGGACTACATATGAACAGAAATTAACGGTGCTAGGTCATGCTAAGAAGTTGTTTTATAATGGGAACAATATTTGAAATTTGCCAGAAACCGATTATGCCACTGGATGGGACAGTTAATTTGTTAGTAAGTAGGATCTAAGAAAAGAAAAGTAAAAAAAAGTTTTCCAAGGAAAGATTCACATATTTCCCGTCTAAACATAGGTTAATGTTAAGCTGACGTCCAGGGTAAGAGACAAACAACAGGCATGACCACGTGACAATTTTGTTCTTCGTTGTCTTTAACGTAAAAGAGGATAAGGTTTCACGATGATGGAAAACGTGACTGGGATTTTTTGTTGTGATGCATCAGTCGTGTGCTATCATATTATTTTCTTTTTAACATTTAACATTTGCCTCGTGTTAACTATTTACGGAAAATATTGGGAAAAAAAATGTCAGCGAAAAGTGCTTTTTAAATTAACATTGTAACGCAAATTATCACAATATAGTGGACATATGTATGCGAAGCAGCTAAGCAGCCGAGCCTTTTTTCGTTTGACGTAAACACCCTACTCAACCAGTCTAACATTAACGAAACCAAAAGCAAATGTTACAGCTTATTTGATCTAAACTGCTATGTGGTAAAGAACGCAAGAAACTACCGGTTTTAAGCTCATCTCAACTAATCTTTTGTATTGTAAAAATCCTCTTCGGGGTAGAAAGGCAGCAGTTTGCCTTCTCCTTTCATCTTGTTAGCTTGAGCCCGATAACCTTTCAAGGCTAACCGACAACTCTTTTCAATGCATTTAACGGACGCTTGGCCGCTTTTTCCCGATTCCTGCTGTACAACTGTTTTGTACTTGTCAGGGTCAATTATCTTTAACTCACATATTCCTATGTAGTCTCTCAAAGTGTTCCTAGGCACACCATATTCCCTCATTGCCTTGGCAAGGGAGCACTTCTTCTTTGCCAAGATGTCCAGGACACCCCCATACCTTTCGTGGACGCCACTAAGGTTGAGGCCTGTAATTAGTCCTTAGAAACAGAATGACATTTAATTAGTGGTGGTGGCTTGCTACAGTCTTGAGGGGTTACGGACCTAAGAAGGGCCCGACTTTTAAACTCTTTAGTACACTTCAAATACGATATTCTAGGGCCAAAACCTCACGGATATGCGACATTTGCGACAATACAGAGGTTAATAAATAGCCAAACTAAACTGCTGAGTATTTAAGGGGACTGGGCCCTTGCAGTCCTAACAGTTTCAACAGCTTTTAACTCAAAATCTGCAGTATGACCCAACTTTTGTTCCGATTGAACATCTGTAGGAAAATGTTTTTCTTTTTCAAAAATACCCGCCGTCTTACATTCTTTTAAAAATATTTGGCCGTGGATGTGTTTCTCCCCTATAAATTAAATAGATTTTTGAAACCGCTGACGGGAGCAATATGCATGCCCTTTATTTGAGCGCACTACTCTTACGTGAAGCCATGCCATTTTGCGCGCGATGAAAAGCGGAAAAATTAACACTCTTTTGCCTGTTGTTTATCTTTCCGTACGTACACTTTAACGATTTTAAACTGTCACCCGCGGGTACCGTTACGCAATCTCTTTTTTTAACAATGTCTTCGGAAATACAACGAACTCACATGTAGCAGTTATGCAAAAGTTGTGCACAAGAACAGATTCTTTTACATACCTCTAGAATTTTTTGGTGCAGGTTCCTTGACCTCTTCGACACTATCATCACTCTGGCGGTCTTCATTCTCCCTATCACGTCGAGCCACACTATCCTTATTTTTCTTTAAGGCAGTTTGCACACGTTGGTTTTCGCCCACTACATCTGCAGAATATAAAATAAACCTCAAGTTTTGTCTGGGACCAACTGAGGGTCGCAGTGGACGCAATCCTTGGTTAAACGTTAACACAGAAATGTAACCATGCATTTAGTCGTTTAAAAGCGCATAAACACCACAAAAATAGAAGATGGTAAACTTGTGGTATATTGCCACTCCCGTTGGCACACGAAATGCAAAGATTGACGAGTAGCGTTTTTGAAGTAGTCACATGTCTGTATTTAATCTAAAGACTGCTCATTTTTTATCTGCCCCCTTCTATAGTTATTTAAGTTAAACCTACACATAGTTTTAAGATTAATGGAGACCTTCAAGGGTGCCTTCCGGGAAAGTATTCTGTGCGCGCTACTTTAAAGAAAACCACGGTAACATATATATCATTGTAAAGCTAATAAACTGTAAAATCCGAAAATATCAATACATTTTAACATTTTTGTTTTGGTAGGCATGCGCCAGCCTTAAAGCGCAAAGCTAATCCTACTTTCCGTAACTGAATTACCAGCCCTCGCGTTATCGCAGACATCCGAGCAGACTGAACTATATCACTCAGACTTTTTCGATATTTCTATCGCAATAGAAGATTTCCTGATTGTTGTTACTCACTGGGACGTCGGTAAAAGCCTCGCAAACTTTGGTGCACTAATATCGGACGAATATTTTGGCCAAGTTTAATTAAAATTCTATAAATCTACATACCGTGCACGCAAAAATAAACCTCGAGTTTTCGACCTCGGAAAAAATTCACAGTTTACGCACCTCGCTGAAGCTGTTGTCAGCTCGGCCATGCAGCTAACCAATGAAACGCAACTCAGAACCCCCTAGCGAGTCTTGCGACAAAGAAGTATTGACCGCTCCCGGGAAAGTTTTGGCAGTGATGTGACACTGTTTTCATTTACAGGGGAACATTACAACCGAAAAAGAGACTATAATCACGAGACTGTAAACCACTCTGTTAATTTTGTGGATCCAGCAACAAGTGTTTATACACAGCATGCAGAAAGCAACTGGAGTGCAGCAAAGGAAAAGTTTATAAAAATGAAGGGAAATACTAATAGCAATTTCCTACAAGAATATTTGCAGGAATTCATGTGGAGACGTTGGTATGGAGAACCACATCCAAATGGCTGCTTTTTAACAATCTTACAGGACATCGCTGAACAATATCCCCTTTAATTAAGGTCGAAATAATCTAGCACAATTCTTTGTGTATAATGAAAGTATACCTTGCCTCCTTGCTTTTAGTGCACCGATAAAGTGTCGATATCGGCACGTATTTAATATGCGTAAAAAAATTAAGGTTTGAACCCTATCAGAAACTAGCCAATTTTTCACCTTTTCAGAAAACTGTCCCACGCTTATCACGCACCATCGTAAACTGCCGCTTATAAGCTTCGTAAAGGGTTTTTGATGGGCTTAAAAATGGGAGGGGGGAGGGGCGTATATAATAAAAAAAATTTCGAATTGAGCTACGGCAGTGCTGCTCAAAATGCGTTTTCATTTTCTAGTTTTAATTAAGGACGTTCGCGACCTAAATGTTCCCACGTTCAGATTGTTTTAAAACTTGTCATGCAGTAAGGTAAAGATCAATTCAACTTTTGGCGAGAAGGAAAAACAAGGAGTGTCATCTTGCTCGTTTCCGAGAAAAGACGCATTGAAGCCCATGCGTTGTTAGGAGCTTTCGTTATTTTGAGACGATGTTAACTTACAACTATCAGCAATTAAAGAAATTACAGTAGTGGAATTTAGATCAGGTTAACGTTCTCAGTTCAACAGAACTACGTCTATTAACTAAACCTTTGCAGCTGATGTCGTTCCTTGAGGTAAAATACTCCTGGAAAAAGAATACATACTAGTCTTGCCCGTCCACAATCGAAGAAAACTTAGGTCGCACGAGAGCAGAAAAGGGGAAATATTTGTAACTTCTCACGTACAGATTTCTTCGGTTTTTGCTTTGTTTTTACTTGTTTTTTTTTTTTACTGGAGAAAATCAAGATAAGATAAGAAAATATGGAGTTACCGACTATTTAAGAGAGTGACCTGCAGATGACGTTAATGCAAGCGGTAACAAGCCCTATGCTCCCTAGTATTTCTTTCTTAGCGCGCGCGCTTGATGCATGATGTGGTGAGAAGTTGTGACATGAATTACGTGCTCAGTGAGGATGCGCGGAAACAATGGGCGCGAACTTCCTTAACATAAATAAAACTAGGAATAGTAATGACCTTATTTTAGAAAAAGTTAACTTAGAATGCACCAAACGCGCTTTTTTTTTTTTACAAAGGTTAATTTATTTTTTAGAATTCCTTTTGATGTAATATAACTTAATTTTCGTGTAACTTGCAATTGCTTGAATAATTCTTTTAATGTAACTTTTTACTAGCCTTTTACAATTTATCTTTTACACAGGACCTGCATCGATAGCAGTGTTTTCTTTAAAACTGATGCAGCAATCATGTATAATAACTGATTCCTCTAAAATCTTTCCGTTTGAACTGAGTAGTACCTTGTTCTTCGAGAGTGCTTATTATTTAGGAAACAAGGAAAACTAGAGAGAGGCTTACATCCGGGGAGGCGTTGTAATCGAATGAATTTTTCTGCTTACAAGTTGGTGGGTCTATAACCGGGGAGGGGTTATAAGCTGGGGAGGGGTTCTCATAAACAGTGGTTTACGTTTTATTAAAATTACATGGCTAATATGTATGGTTTAAATGCCAGTTTCATACAATACAGGGGAGGATTCAGGAGTTCTTGAAAGGGGGGTTGTCGGATACGGGGCCATGCCCCCCGGAAAATTATCCGGATTTTACCCTCTACAACGTAACTTGACAATCAGTCGATTGGTGGAAGTGAACCAACTACGTATAAAACAATTTTATCATATTATTTTTATGAAGAGTTAAACAAATAACAAGAACATACTGTTCAAAGCAACACATGTAACACCGGCATCACTAATACCATTGTCAGACAAATCCAAATTGGTTAGCTTCTTGTTGATAGGGGAGGAGTTGTACGAGAAGTGAGGGAGCATAGCAGCTTTAATTTCGCAGTCAATCTCACTATTAAGGTTTTGTTGAGGAAGAATAAGATGTTTGGGATTTTTCGTTTGCTTCACACGTTTTTGCTGTCCGTTAGCAATACATTACCATTTTAGAGTGCAACTATGGACGATTAAAAAAAAAAGCACCTTAAGAGTTTTCCCATGCGTTCACGAAAAGGAAAAATTACAAAAAAATACTTTAAACGAAAAGAAAAAAAGGGAAATTACAATCACTTCAGTTATTTCTCCAGAAGTCATTTCAAGTCATTTGCGCTTTTGTTACCATCGCCAAACAAATCCAAATTGGTTAGCGTCTTGTTGACTTTGATTGCCTCAGCAATAGATGTAGCGCCGGCATCACCAATACCATTGCCAAACAAAAATACATTGGTTAGCGTTTTGTTGACTTTGATTGCCTCAGAAACAGATATAGCACCAGCATCACTAATATGATTGCTCAACAAATGCAAAGTGGTTAGCGTCTTATTAAGTTTGATTGCATCAGCAATAGATGTAGCACCGGCATCACCAATACCATTACCAGACAAATTCAAATTGGTTAGCGTCTTGTTGACTTTGATTGCCTCAGCAATACTTGTGGCACCGGCATCACTAATACGAATGTAAAACAATTGCAGATTGGTTAGTGTCTTGTTGACTTTGATTGCCTCAGCAATAGATGTAGCACCGGCATCACCAATACCATTGCTAGACAAAAATAAATTCTTTAGCTTCTTGTTGACTTTGATTGCCTCGGCAATAGATGAAGCACCAACATCACCAATGCCATCGCCAGACAAAAATAAATGGATTAGCGTCTTGTTGACTTTGATTGCCTCAGCGATACATGTAGCATCGGCATCACCAAAACCATTCCAAGACAACTTCAAATCGGTTAGCGTCTTGTTGACTTTGATTGCCTCAGCAATAGATGTAACACCGGCATCACCAACACGATTGTTCAAAAAATGCAAACTGGTAAGTTTTAAACCAGTTCCAAACAACTTTGCTAACTGCGAGTGAAAATCATCTTTTTCTCTTTTACATTCGTTAATGGCCTCCAGTAAAACATTTGTGCCACGACCTGCATTTTTGTTGACTTCATTTGTTAAACTCTTTACAAGAGCCACAACTTGTTCCTCACATTTCATGGCTAAAATTCCGCATGAAAACAAAAGTACTTGTTTAAGTTTAACGAAATACCTGGGATCGGAGACTAGTTCTGCAGATGTAATTTTCTTGTTTTGAATCTGAGAACAAATGAAGAATGCTGCAAAGAATTCTTGAAAACTTTTATGTAAGAAAGCATAATGCAGTTTTTGTCTCAATTTGTTGCCACCAGGTTGCACTGACAGAAATCCAAATTCAGTCAACTCTTTTGCATGGTTTCCCAATTCACTTTCATTAAAATCCAACTTGTCGTTGAGTAAACCATTCAACGCTACCAGCCCAAGTCGATTCAGTTGCGGTTTGTAATGGTTTGTCAGGTCTTCTCCAATTTCTGGTAGTCCCTTCTTTTTTCTGTATCTTGTCAAAACACATTCAACCATATCCAAGTACAGTTGAGCTCTGTTTTCTGAGAATGCACCCTCAAACTCTTCACATAAAAGGCAAAGAAGTGCTGTGTTTAGAGGATTGGCTGCCATTTCTTTAAGGTTTTTATCTCGAGACATCCGTTCCAAGAGCTTGGTGGCTAAATCCGGCCTTTCTTTAAAGTACATGGTGACAAATCCCCTCACATGCTTTTCAGTAAATCCTTCGATCTGAAGCAGCGTGTCACAACATTTCCTCACCTCTTTCCCAGCTTCGTGTCTTGCTGTTGCAACTATGTGGCATCTGGGGAGTACTTTTCCTTCAATTAATTCGGAAAACATCGAAAATTTGCTGGATGGTAACTCATCTAATCCATCCAATATCAATAAAATGCTGGACTGATTTTCACGAATGAACTGAAAGAATTGTTGTTTGACTTCTTCGTCGATGTCTCGAGGCAGAAGTTGATCATCAATGGCTCCCCAAACATCAAAATGGATGTCTCGACATTTCAGCAACAATACTGCTTTGAATGCTGTTGAGCCGCAGCCCTGCTTCTTTGTGGCCCAGTCGTAAACATACTTTTTACAGTAGGTGGTTTTTCCTATACCAGGTTCTCCTTCAATCAAAACTGTTCTTGGCGCTGAACACTCTTCATGCGGGTCTAATATTGACGACATGTCAACAAATACGTCAGTGATTTTTCCTCTCGTTTTCTTTCTTCTGACCACTTTGAGCCTCGTAAAAATCTTGCCAAGAAAAAACTGAAACTCTTCACACCATGGAAACGGTGAGAGCCATCCCTCCCGAGTCTTGTACAGCTGGAGAATTCCATTGATAAGCTTAGTTGGATCAAAACTACCTAACAGTAGAAAAATGAGTAAGAAATCCAATGAATGCTGTGTTAAAAATTGTGTTATCTCTCTGGTATTCGGCACTGAAATATGCAAATTTTCACCCTGAATATTACCCGAGTTGTGTGACCTCATGTAACGAATTTACTTGACCTCCGGTATATCTGTCGGTATAATAATTGTTTTATCATCTAAACTTAATCCCCTGTCATTATTGAAGCTGGCGAAGAAATATTTTTTTTTTGGTGAATAATTTTGTCCGACGAACTTTTTCTATGTCGAAAAGTAGCATCAAAACAAAGACAGTTTTAACAATGACCGATATGACAGAATCTACTGAGCTTTTAGCTTTTAAAAGACAAAAGGATGTTTATAAAGTTAATGTAAAAATTTCCTTGTGTATTTGTGTTGTTATATCGCGAGACGAACTCAAAGTCCGGCAAAATTTACTTGTTAGCGCCTACTTGTCGCCACCGTTTATTTGCATATCGAGGCATAAATCCCCACAATTTGTGAAAAAAATCTAACATAACACTCTTATTTATGATTTTATAAGACCAATAAGCTGTTTTGGCTATTATATTACGCTTGAGTATTACTTTTTGCCGGGAGCCCAGGTTTTAAGTTGTGTTTTCCCCTATCCATTTATATCAGAAGCTGGTCACGCAATAATTGATACCAACACAAATGAATATTTACCCTGTATGAAGATTTTTGTTTATGTTGAATGGACAATATTACAATATGTTACTTTTGTGGTCACTAATCTTTGTTTCAGTAGCAGCGTAGCAGTTCAAAGCGGGTTGTTGCTTCAACGCTATTGAAATTTATAGTGTTCTGGCAGGAGAGCAGAGCGTGATGCTCTGGGAATAAAAACTCTTAGGGGCCTTGTACATGAAGTCTACATGATATCGGAAGGAGTTTTGTTCAAGAACGAGTTCATCTCGGTTGCCACATAATACCAGAGTAAAAATTAATCGAAACGAGTCATTTCTAAATGAGTTTATTGAGGTTTTCATTCCAGAATGAAACACTTATTCTGGACGACCTTTTGTATAAAGTAAACGCTGTACGACACTCATATCTGTATGAATCCTCTTTAGGAGCGAGGGAAGCACAGAAAAAGGACGTAAATACTTGTTTTTACATGCTAAATTATCTTGCATGTAAACGCAGTATGAAATTCATTTCGTTCCGGAACAAAACCCATTTTGGAATAATGTAAAAAGTACCTTAGGGACGGACCATTAGATTTTTGATGCGGGGGGGGGGGGGGGGGGGGGGGGGTCTCTGATGCCTCAAGACGAACCAAACAAAAAAAGTACAGCCGTCCTGCCTCGAAGCAGGACAGATTTTGTCAGCATAAAAATCTGACAGATCAGTGCCCAAAAGTTTTTATAAGTAAATAATCAGTTCACGTGAATTTTACGAGGTGAGACTGACAGCTCGTAGTTGGCAAATCACATCTTTTGTTTTTAGGTGCTGACAGGGTTGGTGGGGAAGGGGGGAGGAGGCGATCGGAAATGGGTGAGGATGCTTGTCGTACCTTTCAGGGGTCAAAATCAGTGATCTGGTACCTTTTACGGTGTCTCAAACTTTAGTGGACTACCAGAGACTTAGCTGGTACCTTTTAGGGTGTTTTTCGCTCAATAAAATGCCTGAAATAAACATTATTAGGACGATTTTAATGATCTGACTTGAGCCTCTGGAGCACATCGATAAAGGAGTTCTTATTTTTGGGATTTTTTAATTTTTTTGTGTTTAAATTGGTACTTTTTAGGGGTAGATATCAGTTGTTGCCACTCCTACACGGATGAGTCAGGTACCTTTTATAATTTTATAGGGGTCGTTTTCGAAACTCCCGGCGCGCATTCTCGCTCTCTTGTGCATAGGGGTTCCCCGGGGGGTGCTGATACGTGCAGCACACTTGAAATTTAGCAAGGAACTAGACCCTGTGAGCAGGGTAACTGGGATACCTGGATGGTACTGGGTCCTTGGAATCAAGTGTACTGATACTATGGGTGTAGGACTAGTATACTGAAATAGTGAGCTCAAGTCTGGCCAAGGGCATACACCTATTTCAAAACACAGGCATGCTCTGCATGCAAGAGTTACTTTTTTGTAGGGTGGATGGATTACTTGAAACATTGTGAGTGATGTCTACATTCTTACAAAAGGAGAGAAGAATATTAATGTGGGAAAGAACGAAAATGTCGAATTACCTCACACACAGGTATTTTGTGGTAGATTATGTGTGTTTTGCGAATAAATGTAACCAAAAATAAACTGTATTGGTGTCACGGATACCTGTTAGTACAAAATGCAGAAGGCAGACAGCAGATTGTAGACCAGATACAAAATATAGACTGCAGACTGCAGAGTAGGTACAGACTAAGAGTAGGCGCAGACTAAGAATCTGAAGAGTTTTTACGTCTGGTTTATAATAATATGTCATCTTACAGCTTACCGAGCGTCACGCAATCGTTTTTCTGCGATCCGCCTTCACGATTATTTGCACTATTGTGGAATATTCCTGGCCCATTTCTTGATGAAAATCGATCGCAATATTATTTCAAGCCTTCAATATAGTCTTCTTACTTTGCGCGCGAGTTGGTTGGTGTGACGTCTGTACAGATTTTACCAACGTAATAAAAGTAGATGACGTGAATAACAGTGATGGTAAAGCAAGCTTAAAACGGCAGAAATTACCAGAAAATACAACGGATACACAGGGTATGAGTAAGTTGTATTGATTTTACGAGAAAAATGTTCATATTTCTAAATATGTATCGTTGTAAATCGACCATACTTCGTTCCCTATACTATTCCTTATAACGTGCAGTTTCTCTCGTAACTTAACACCGAGTCACACAACGCGTGAATTAATCGTTGGCTTTTTCTCGAGGCGTGAGCTTGGGCCGCCTGTGACAAGACAATTGCGTAAACAATATTTAACATTATTAATTATACACAAAAAAACACAGGGTTTCGGTCACGTATTTATTAAAAAAGAATATCCATACAACTACAATGAAAACAAACATAAGATTCACCTTTCTGATCGTGACATTAATACCATTCGTACTGTTATCGTAGCTACGTTCCTTGCCATCAAGTGAATCCAACATGTCGTCTTTCTTCACAAGCAGTTTGCATCCATTATAGTTATGTTCTTCAGTCTCACGGTGGTAGTGTTGTTCAATAGATTGCATAGAGTATATGCAGTTTGGTTTCAGATTTTGCTTTTTACAACAAGTGTACGTTTTTCAACTAAGACATTGGCATACTTAGCATACAAGGCATTCAAGGCTTTCATGGCTTTCAAGCGTTCGCGACTCAATCCGTTCCGAAATTACCGCTCAATAACATCTTTCAGTGTGGATTAGCCGCGATTAATACGACTTGTATATGCGTCTGTAAGTATTTTGCGCGTTTGCGCCATAACGCTCCAGGAAATCGCAATCCAAATACGTTGAAATACAAAACAACTGGCCAAAGAGTTTTATAAGCAAAATCTCGTGATTTGTCATGTGACCCGGCCCTGTCTGTGCATGATCAATCATCATCAAAATAACACGCGTGATCAGCATGTGAACACCTCATTGGATCACAGTTAGTTGTCATGGTGTTGAGGGCCCAATGACCTCTGGGTAATACTGCGCATTTTTTCCATTTTGTGGCGGAGAAAAAAAAACAAAGGCATTATATGACTGGGCTACCACAGGTGTCCCAGTAAAAACTCCGCCTCTGTCTGGATTTTTGGTAGCCTATTTACCAACTCCCGATCGAGGCCTAAGTCTGACGGGACGCGTAATTTTGCACAAGGTGGTAAGTAGCCAGGTTATATGAATTTTCCAGACGTCTTGCGTACTACCTGTGGTACACGCTTGCCAATACCCCAATAGGCATTTGGAATCGACTTAACCCTACCTTTACCATGGTCGTACACTTCTTTAAGCACTCTATAACTACTAATGAAACCACGAATCCACCCAACACCGGTACCGAGATTTGATCTATGAGTAAGGCAAATTGTAAAATCATCTCCGCAGGTAACTTAAAATGTCTTTTTTACAACTACGCAAGGAAACGACCTGAGATATGCAACGTCGGTCTCCTCGATAACTATACCCAAAAGTCCTACAAGCGAACGATTTAAGTGAACAGCAAATCTCCTTGTTAGCATGTGAGATGGACGCTAATACAACAGATCAATAATATTGGTTATTCGGTGTGTAGCTTGTCAATCGAATTGACTTTTGTAAACATTCTTTGACTTCCGCCGGCAAAGGAATCATTGATGGATCTGGACATTTTAGTTTTCTGAATACAGCAATTCTTGGAAGGTTTTTATAGATATGAAAAGAGAGGAAAAAAAACCCATCTCTTCGTAATTCGGAGGTTGATTCATCTTTGAATTTATGTGTCACGCTTGTCATGCAACTAATATAATAATGTGGAGAAGATTTACAAACTGTAAATTAAATCTGGCTAAAATATGGTAGAGCATAACTTGATCACCGAAACAGCTAATAAAATCATAAATAAATAAGGTAAGAGGTTATGTTAGATTTCTTTACAAACTATAGTGATTTATGCCAGTAAACGGTGGCGACAAGTAGGCACACCATGTATACTTCATAGTCGCTAGCAAGTAAATTTTGCCGGACTTTGAGTTCGTCTCACGATAGAACAACACAAATACACAAGGAAATTTTTACAGTAACTTTATAAACATCCTTTTGTCTTTTAAAAGCTAGAAGCTCAGTAGATTCTGTCATATCGGTCATTGTTAAAACTGTCTTTGTTTTGATGCTACTTTTCGACATAGAAAAAGTATGTCGAACAAAAATATTCACCAAAAAATAAATATTTCTTCGCCAGCATCAATAATGACAGGAGATTAAGTTTAGATGATAAAACAAAGGATTATGCCGACAGAAATACCGGAGGTCAAGAAAATTCGTTACATGAGGTCACACAACTCGGGTAATATGCAGGGTGAAAATTTGCATATTTGAGCGGCTGAACGAAAAATATCATTTCTCGAAAAATAAAATATATTTTCACAAAAAAACTACACCACAATTATTCGGACATATTGGGCTACAAAATATGAAAGTAGGAGAGAAAGCGAATTTTGGGCGACTTGCCACAATATTTCAAATTTGTTCGATGGATGCTGACATCCTCTCTTAAATTATGAATGCAGTCGAACCTAATCTGTTACTATCTAACGTCGAGCTGAACTTAACACCGATATTTCAATTAAAAATGTGCTTTCTTTGTTTATTTCGCACTCCATTAAAATATGGTTCTCTCGCATTGAAACTTTGATTCTTTCTGGATTATTTAAGAAAAATTTTACAATTTATGGAAAAGTCAACATTTGATAGCTGAGAGCAGACGAAGACGGCTCCTCGAATATAATTTTTCCAGGGTAATTACGGGGGAAATTTTGAAGGAAAACATTATGCAATGTCTTGCGAACAAGAGTTCGCTGACTCTTGGTTGGCAAGTATTCCATAAAGAGTGGCTTCCATACCGCACCCCAAATATTACAGTAGAAGCAATTTTAGAACAGCAAATGTAATAAAATTGTGATATATAACCAGTTGTGAACTGCGCTCCACAATTAAACCATTAAAAGGGAATGAAAGCAGACTGCAGAGACTCTTCCAGAAGTTGTTTAAATTGAAAAATGAATCTCTTTAAGATAGGATGATCGCTCTCTCTCACATACCGGACATGTTGGCTACAGCTAAATATCCGCTTAAGCAGGAAAACTTTTATCGTATGGTTCAACTGACCTTCATCTTTGTTTTCTGCGACTGGGGCTGTCGAAGCACACATCTTTTCCTTCACTTCTTTCAGTTCGCTGTCCATCTTTGCTATTTCGCCTATTAATTTTTCAAGAGACAATTTCGTGGTATCTGACAATAGAATGACATTAGTCTGGGTGAGAGTCACTTTATTCATTAAAAGAAAAGTCAACTGAATAGATCCTTTTCCCTTCCTCTATCGTTTGTTTAGATTTTATACGAAACTCTAAAAAACTTGTGGTTGGCTTCAACGGTGTCTGACGATCCTCATTCACTCTAGTAGTTTAATGCCTGGGTTTTATCTTGGTTCGAGACCCCCAGCAGAGTTTCAAGATATTCAGTCGCAGAGTAGTAACCTGGCGGCCGATCTTCGATTAGAGCGTTCACGTTTTCGAGGAAGTTAAGATCGATTTCTAACCAAAATGTTTCAGAAGACGCTGTTTTTTCTCAGATGTCAGATTTACAGTTGAGGTGACCGTTGGTTTTGTGTTGTTTTCCAGAAATTAGCTCTAATTTGCTGTAGCTGCAAATTCACTAATGCATAAACTATTAGTTAAGAGCGTTCAAGGAAAACTTATTTTTTTGGTTTATTAAATTAGGGACTAAATTTTTTTGATATGTTTGGGAAATTTTTATTCTCATCAGTATGGGATGAGCGTAAAATTTTTTGAACCTCGGAGTGTAACCTTTCCTATAGCGTAGATCACATTTGTTCATTTATCAAATCTAAATATCGTGGAACGTTCAATCCCAAGTCATAACTTTAACTGTGATCTCCAGCACAACATTTTCTAGGCAACATTATGATGAAAAAAGGGAATCCTATGAGCTTCAACAAAGGGAATTCATTAATTAAGCTACAATGCACATACGTTTCGAATTAATGAGGAAAATAAAAGCTATACCTACACAGTTGTGTTCTTACATGTACAGCGAAAAATAGGTTTTGGCTGAATCGATCACGAGAGAGTTTTCAAAATGAGTTGTCGGTTTTAACCTTTGATGACAACGGCTTAAGTTACATTCCAAAAGTTAGTAATATACCCATGACAAAAAAACAATGTTTTTAATTGTACTAGACAACATTGTTTATTATATTTTTTATTTACAACAAATTCTATTGACATCCAACAACACTGGAATCTGGTGAAGTGTTATAGGATCTTATGAGGAACAGAATAAGCTGAAAGGTTTAAATCCTGCGATAAATATTATTGAACATAACTGACTGAATGACCATCAAGGAAATGCTTACATGAGACTGGATTGGCTACATAGGTGTCACCTAATTATCAAGAGATGGCACCTGGAGTAAGTGACATGTTGATGAGGATATTCTTTGAAATTTCCTCATGCAGCCAATACCTCTCTTCCAGATGCCAGCTTATGCCTTTTCAGACCCATCATATCTTGTTATTTTTTCTTATTTTTTGGCAAGGGAAATTGCCTCCCATAACTTAACATGAGCAAATCATCATGTCAAACAACTTGTCAAATTTCATCTTTTAACTCATTCTTATTTTTCGTTCTTTTTGTTTTTCTATACTTCACAAAACTTGTCAGGCTTAACATTGTTACTCGTTGGTAAACTGATTTCTCAACTAAGGCAACCAAGATTTGGGATTTTTTATATAAAGCTGTCGTATATTTGACTCCATAGGAAATCACAAGCCATACAATGTGTTCCACGAGTGGAAATTGCATAAAAAACAACAAGAACAACTACAATGAAACCCAAATTATTAACCATCATTGAAGTATTTCCGTATTCCTAGAATTACAGGAATCACAAACGTTTTGTTCTAGAACACTAAATAATAACTACCTAAGTCAGTTACTTAAGCAGTATCAATTTTCGCCGCAATGATTGTCCTGTGACCGACGCTGACCGCCATATTTGATTTGCGCCTTCGTAATCAGCGGTGTAATGTAATAGTCAGGTCGTCCCTTTGCATTATTATCGAAAGGAAACAAAATGGCGGCATTTTTCGTAACCCCAAAAGGAGTAATTCTAACGCTCCCGCCGGTGACGAAGTTTCCGTTTCACGCAATTGTTTTTTGAAAAATGGAAGAAGGTATTGATAAACTTTGCCTTCACGTTCGGAATGATGAGTGAAGTACAGTTGATAACAAACAAAATGCCACTAGGTTTACAAAGGTTTCTTCGCAGCTCTTAAAAATCTTAATTCTCTTTTTGAAGGAACGAAGGAAGTTCATTCCAAACGTAGATGGCTAGAAATTTTCACTGAGTATTTGTTTCATTCATTGGTCGGTTAAGAGTGTATGTAAATCTTACCAATTCCGATAAAAACTGATTGAGTAGTGTTTTGATCACGTGACCCGACATGTGGCTTTCGTCGTCAATATTGTTGCCATAGGGTAAAAGTTCTTACGGAAAACTATCGTCCACGAAAGTTTCAGCGCAATCGGTTGTATATTTGCGGAAATATAGCTCTTTATTTTCTTAAGGCAATTTACACTCCGGACCCAGGCCTTAAACTACTTGAGCAGATATATTCTCATGTAGAATTGAATACTCCACAATATGACCGGTGGAGGGATTTGATTATTTTATTCTGAAATGTGCGGGTCACATCTAAAGCTACTAGGAAGTTAGATTAAATGAGAAAGGTAATACTAAAATATGACGATAACCTATCTCGCCTACAATCATAAATATGTATAAGTGCTGTCAAAACACCACCAAATCCGGGGGGTGGCCAGGGCAGAAGATCTCAGATTCCGTGGCATCCCATTCATCCCACACGTTAAGTAGTATCTTCATGTATAGCACGTGCCAGTGGTGGCCAGGGTGTGCTCTTAGATCAGTAAAGTACCAAAGTATGCTGTGTTAGCCGACATCCAGCGATTACCGTCGTCATGCCCATGAGCTGCGTTATGTACTCAAGAAAACAGTGTCGCTCTTAACAATTTTTTTTCTATGAGTTGCTCTTTCTACCAACTAACCTTCTTGTGTGCTTTTTTCCGCTGAGGCCGTCAGACTACTAAGCTTTTCTTTCACCTCTTTCATTTCAATCTCTATCTTGTCCAGCGAATCTGAAAGTTTCAAAAGGTAAGTGCATTTTCATGTACCACAGCGTGACGTTTAGGTGCAAGTAAAACAATGATACGTGGACCAAATAGATCAAACTCAATAAGACGCTTCGAAATCACAAAAATGTACTTCAGCAGTTGTACACGAGTACCCAGGACCTGACAAAAATACTTGAATGAGAACGCAGTGTCAACAGATGGGTTAATTCTTCATTTTTAACTCATAACGCTAAAAAATTAAAGTAACGTTCCAAATATGTGACTAGTTCCGACCAAAATGAAAACATCATGTACTAGCCTACACTGTCGTGTTAACTTAAAATACATACTTTTGTAACATAAGATTCTGTGCCATCCCATTCATCCCATGCATTAAATAGTATCTTCATTTGAAGCCAGAGTAGGTTGGTAGCCAGGGTGTACTCTTACAATAATACATTAGCAGAAAAATGATAAATTGGCCGACATTAAGCGAATAAGAAACATAAGCGAAATTTCATAACCATATTCACATCACAGATTCACGTTTAGGTGCAGATAAAACAATATTACGTATATCAGTATCTAGTCAACTTCGAATAGATCAAACTCAATAAGACGCTTAGAAATCACAAAAATGCACTTTAGTAGTTATTCACGAGTACCCACGGACGACAAAAATACTGCCAGTGAAAACAGTGTCAAAATTTGGGTTAAATCTTCATTTTTAACACCTAACGCGAGAATAATTGTCCAAATATGCGACTAGTTCCGACCAAAATGAAAACATCATGCGCTAGCGTACACTGCCGTGTTAACTAAAAAATATATACTTTTGTAGCCTTCTGATCATCCATATTGGCAATGGACAATGCTATTCTTACCTTCAATTTCTTCAAGTTTGTCTTTAATACTGTCGTCGTCTTTCTTCCATTGTTTCATCAGTTCTCTATAATGCTCCTCGATAACCGGATCCATGCAGTCGTGTTCAAGATTGTCGATTTTACCTCGGAAATGAGCTCCTCCCAATCTCACCAAAGCTTCCCGTATCTCTTGCCAGCAAGCACTGAAGCTACTGTCATCCACAGAGGCTTGAGAAGCATGGCCGTATACAGTGTTCCTGTAATATTTCACTCTGGCGATGTCATCTGCGATGCTCATGTTTTCAGCTAGGGGAAGATGATCCCATCCATTGGCAGGAGGGCTTAAACCACAGATACTTCTAAGTAACACTGTTAAAAGTGTGACATCGAAGGTTGCGGATGACACGGCTGAGTGAGAAGGGTACAACTTTCCCCATTGCGTGGGATTCAGTACTTTCTTCTTCCCTTTGTACAGTGATTGCAATTTGGCGTAATGCACTGAGGTACTTCCCAAAACTGTCTGTAGAGTAGCTGGTGGATGTATTTTGTCAAAAGTGGACCGCAGCACCTGAGTTCCTACACCTACCAGGAGGCGGCATAACCTTGCATAGTTGGTAGTCTCTCTTGTAGACGTAAATGGCGGCGAAGCTGTAGCCATAAAATTGATGTTTAAGGAGCAGCCTATCAAGCAAATTATTTGTGTGAGATAAAATTTTTATCATTGAGTCGACAAGTTTCATCGTAGATAAATCAAAAACTTGTAGAGGTTCACATGTGATTATTTTTCTATCCATGAAACTTCAGAGCCTAGAAATATTTTTGCAATTTTGTGAGTTTTAAAAGAGGGGGTTTACACGCAATTACATATCCTCAATTATAAAAGTCACATTTCAGGATAATTAAAGCAGGAGAAACTCGAAAGCTGCAGCAACCACCGGCTCTAACAGCAACTAGAGAAGCATAATACAGCCATCAAGATGATGATATGAACAACAGCACAAACCACGAAACATCTACTGACAGTCATTCAGTTAGACACAACAGTCAACATAATGTATCTACAATTGACTTTACTAATTACGCTCCAATATCAATATCAATATGCATATTCTCCATACTGTTCATCATACACTGTTCTTAAGGCGCTGCTAAGGAAAATTTGTTTAGCAATCAAGAGCTTCTTTAGTTGGTGACCATTTCGTCTATTCTCATGACCTTTATGTGTGATTTAGAGGAGATATTGCAAGGAGAATTTAGATGTTAGTCACTCTTAGGGTTGAAAGGGTTGAGTAATTACCAACAGCAGTTATGCCTGGCGTTTACCAATCCGGCATCAGCAAAAGCAGCAATACTATCACTGTTCAGTTAACGCCACAAACAATTAGAAAACTGTCTGCCTTTGAAAACAATTTCAAGTTCCATGTCGCAAGATCGCATGCAGAGTAGAATTTGATCACATGGAAATTCAACTAGGAATCAAAGTATACAGATTGAACAAAGGAACGTCATAGGTCACGTGTGCAAACTGGGTGTCTATATACCTTTAATTGAATTTTCTTTCTTCAAGATGTGGCATGTAAGAAAGGGATAATGTTATAACTTCTGAAAAAGAGAAACAGCACAATCAATATTAAACCGTAAATTGGTGTGAGTGGCGCACTATAAGAAATTGGTATATTGTAACTTTTTCCACTCATAACAATTTATTATTAGGTTTGATTGCTAGACTGATAAGTTACGTGTGCAGCAGAGGTGCACGTGGTTAAAATGTGCAACACTGAACACAATCTATAGAGAAAAATTTTTGCACGTGAGTCACACTTGTCAATATTTTCCTGAAATTAGCAAACTATGTACAATCAGAGAGAAGCTATCAGGACCTTTTTCTTTTCAAACAATGGTTGGTGCGTAACAGTGAGAATAAACGAAACAATAAAAATTTGCATCGGACTGAACTAACTCTGGTGTATGTACAATTTAAGTCTTCCTGCTGAATGTATGACTTAAAGTAGAAACTGATTTACCAGAGCCATGGTGTACAAAAGTATTATCGCAACGTAGAAATGATCCAAGACTACGCAACAAAATACCGTGAATCAGTTCGCGTCGCACCCACAAGTCACGCATGTATGCATTCATAAGTAATTTCCATAATAAAAGATTCCTAATAAATAAAAGATTCACAAATCTCGAAAAAATTTTCGGGAACACTCACGGCTTGTGTTTTTCCGCAAATTTGTCCAAGTTATAATATCTCTTGCAAATCTTCGCAAGGGTGTAAGTTACCTTGGACGCGGAGCAAAGAAAACATCACGGACAATAATAATAGCGGAGCTCGCAGCGCGCGCAGCGTAGCCCATAATTATACAAAATAGTAGTAAGCCATCAAGCCGAAAAAATTTAGACTTATGACCGTATGGACGTCTGTACAAGGTGCTACCTTTAGCATGGGCGGCCAACTGTATAATGGAAGGGCGAGGGAAAAGATGATGCGCAGGCACGATTGCTTGCGTAACTTGGATACCCCATTCGTGTGCGCCAGGAGACACCGGCAGATGACAATGAAGTGCGCATACTCGCGTGCCGAGCTTTAGTGCACCGTACCGCGAGCACACGTGGGCACACGGTTAGATATTACATGAGGGCTTCACGTGGGTCAGTAGATGTGAAGCCGCGTAAGCAAATAATTTGTCACCCGCGTTTTGAGCGGGAAATCAAACTGGTCAGGATGTAGTTGAACAGTAATTCTCAGTATTTTGCAATTGCTAAACAACTCGTAAGGCAACAATACCGGCAGAATTTAAGCTTTGACAACCGGAGGAAATTGTTATAATTCAAATTCGTGGAGAAAGGGTTTTAAATTAAAGTAGGCTGGATATAAAGAGACGGAGCGACCAAAGCGAAGCACCAAGTAAACGGCGTAAAGCGAGTCCAGAAAATCGCGCAAGAAAGTTAGGAAGGACGCCAAAATAGGCAGAATACGGCGAGAGGAGCGCGAAAGAGAACAATAAAAGGCATAAGTAAAAAGGGAACATCTAGCGAAGAGTAACGCGAGAAGGAAATACATAGTCGCTCTTGAAAACAGACTGAAAAGAGGTTATCAACAAAGAGAAGCGAACTATAAAGGATCCGCGAAAGAAGAGGAGGTAAGTCGCGTCTTATCTAGGTTTTCTCTTACGCGAAGATGTGTTGTTTTACCCTAAGAACGAAGTGATGACCTTTCCCAAAATTGAAATAAAATAAGATTGAGTCAGCAATGTTCATGTTTACATTAAGTCTGACGCGGTAATTTGACTTTGACGATATTGTCATGTGAGAACCCGTCAAACATCTGAGAATCAAATTACGGACCGCAAACGCTTGGTGCAAACAGGTAAAATGGAGTTGTTTCTTTAGAGGGATGAGTGAATTTAATTGTTTGGTTGTCGTACTTTTCAGCGCTATGTTTTCATGTTTTCTACTCGATTCGTTCGAACTTCAGGAAATGGTTTGTCTCCCAAAACATGGAGTCACTTTCTCTTCGCTCAACATCTCGAGGCGTTATGATGAACATGCTTGCAATACAATAATTTTTTCCCTATGCTGGAAACTGAAATTTAGACTACAGACTACATCTTTGGTAGTCATCACATTTTGCAAGAAGCGTCCGAGCTGTGATCGTGCAATTAAACGGGGTTAAGGCAATTTGACCTCATAAGCATGCTGGTAAGCACATAGTTAGCGTAAATAATTTTTGTTTACAGTTTTCGAATTCAAGAGCAGTTTTTGAGAGTCTGTTTCTGTAACCTTCCTGGCTATTTTCTGCTAAATTCATCGAGGTTCACTCACAGAATTTCATAAGCGATTATGAATGATAGATTCGTATCGGCACCATAATTCAGGGAAGTTTTGTCAACACATTAGCAGTTGACAATTCGCGAACCATTTCTGTAACCTGCTTGGATATTCTCTTTTCGAATGTGAAGCACATTTGAAACTTTCATACGATTGTAGGAAACTATACTTAATTAACTCTCGATAAATTGGCCTGACATAACTCGTTGATTATTTTATTATTTTGTAGCCCCAAAACCCCGGCTTGTGACTCTGGAAGTACTGAACTCGATATGTTTGATACACAAGGCGCTCTTCTAGTGGGAAGGTTAGAATAAAATTGCATTTATGACCATATATTGCACTCGGTTTACATGTGCAGATAATTACTTAAAAATACTTATCATAGCTGTATTCAGAAGCATAGACATGTAGGCAATATGCTTCTGCTTTATTTTATTGTAGGGTTTTCTTTTTATGTAACATGTATCCATTTCCTCCCCAACCTGCCTGCAAATAATCGAATTTTTTGTTTTAATTCAAGATAAAATGGAGTTCTCATTCCAGATTGAATTCAGGTGAGAACATCAGTAAACAAGTTAAAATCATATGCTTCTCCTGAATCTTTAATTGTATTGCCGTGGTTTTTTTCACAAACCCTATTCTATATCTGTGTGACAGCTAATGATTAAAACCTCAGTGAATAGATATGCCATATTTTACTAGTTTTTTAAATTCCATCGTTATATTTTTAGCATGTACTATTTCAAAATTCATAAATGGCATTCCCTTTTCATCCTTGTAAAGAGATATTACACATTTCTTTAACTAAAATATGAATTATGAAGTCAACTTAATTTCAATAAGTCTGAAACTTCATTCTACATAGTATAATGTTACATTTATTAGCTGTCTTTCTGGTACACATGATTACCATATGTGTCTTAACCCTTTAACCCTTTCACTTGAATAAACCTACATTTTTTAATTCTTTAAAAGAGATGATTGATCAAGAAAGGTAAAAAGTGTAAAAAACTTTCGAGATTTTTTGTAGGAATGGAAAATTTCACGTTTATAGGGATGTGGGCGAAAAAATCGGAGAGAAAATCGTTTTCTTTTCTTTCTTCAGTCGTTTATTACTTTGAAGATCTGCGAAAATCAGGAAATAGGGCTCTGGTACAGAGCAAAACATTTATTAGGCTATAATTTGATCGTCTGTTATCATTATCGCACAGTTTACAATACGAAAGCTGTAACGGAGAGGAGATTTTAAAGTCACATGTCGCATGCTTGTTGACGTACAAGTTCCCGAGTGTAACAACTTCGGCTTCTCCATACCGCGGATGACGGGAAACTCCGCCCCCCTTATTTGATAGGAGATATCAATAGCCCCATAGATTCATTAACTGTAACCTAGAGACATCGCGTGATGTTGAGGGGTAAAGTATTTACACTAAATCTGTAACCCTCAAATCACGTACTCGTACATGTAGCATATAACGTCCGGAAAATGTCACGCATGTATAACATCGTAAGCGCACCTGGCGAATTCTATCAACTAGCTTCAATAGTAAAGAGACAACTTATTTACTATTTATATATATGCAAGCTTATTTAACCTACTTGAAAAAATCCTTGATGAAGTCTACTATTGTCAGACGGAACGCGTGGGAGATAAATACAGGTTTTGTGCAGTGATGCTCACTAGTTTGTTCCGTCAAAAACGCTTTTTATGTGAAGTCACATCGACCTCGACAGAAAAATCAAGCTCACCCTGTCATAATCAATGGTTTGATACCGTAAGTACCAATTTAGGTACATCATTGGGCTTTGATCACAATGATG